CAAATACATGCAATATTACATTGACCTATTCAATAAGTTATTGAGAACAAACATGCGAAAATAAAAGAACAACCTCAAACTCCTCTCTCTCAGCTACTCAAAATGGATTAACCACCACATTCACCATGAAGTCTGGCCAATTTTTAAGACCCAGAATTTCCAACCACTGACCCAGTCCAGAAGACACAAAAGTCGAACCAGACCTGGTCTACTTGTTTGGGTCAGGCCTCAGTCGGTCCCATGGGTCCAGACTAAATTTCACAAAACTAAATTTCACAAAACCCATTTACCAAGTTCGACTAGAGCCACAGCTGAGAAAACTACAAAAATATTTCCTTCGTCAACTTTATCACTTCAGCCATTCTAATAAAATAAATAATTAAATTTCCTTAATAAAAAATTATAAATTCCTTCGTGCGTACGTATATGATTATTCTGTAATGCTCTTAAATTTCAATAAAAATAAAAAAATAAAATTAATTTAGATCCAAACTTACAATAATATCTTCTTCTTTCCCCAAAAACACAAAGACGGTCAACGGGAAGAAAAAGTCAGCCGTGATCAATCGATAATATCGTCTAAATACAATCCGAACGCAGACCATAAACATCAATACAAGGAAAAAAAAAAAAAAAAAAAAAAAAAAAAAAAGTTAAAAATCAAAGCCACCTGCATCGTCAAACCCGGCGTCGTAACCGGCATCGTACGACGCCGCGTCGGAAACCATATCTCCAATCAGAAGTCCACCCAGAGCCCCTCCTAGTAGCCCAGCTCCCAATCCCATCCCGAATTTACTGTTCTTCTTTGGTGGCTGCTGCACCGGTGGATATCCATACCCGGGTTGTGGCGGGTACCCATAACCCGGATGAGGTGGTGGGTACCCGTATCCAGGAGGCGGTTGTTGCGGAGGATACCCACCGTATTGTTGTGGCGGTGGGTAGCCGTATCCCGCTGGCGGAGGTGGGTAAGCTCCGGCGTGTCCAGCGTAAGGCGCGGAACTGGATCCAACGGCTGGATAAGCGGTTACCGGCTCATGATCAACCTTTTTCTCCGCCGCATGAGCGACCAAATCCCCAAACTTATACGAAAAAGTAAGCATACCTTTAGGTTTGCCCGAAGGTGTTCTGACCTGATAAGTTACAGTTTTCATGGTGGCGCCGACGTCTCCTTTAGAGGAAGAATCCAGAAGCTCCTTGACGGGAACGCTGACTTCGCCGATATCCTTATCGCTGAAGGTACCTTCGTTTTTGAACTCAAAGACGAGGGTTAACCGGTTTTGTTGAGCAAGAGAATCGTCGATTGTGAACTTTACGGGGAAATTCCAGGTTGGATTAGGGCCAGAATCCTTGTGGACGGGGGTTTTAGCCTTCTCCTTCTTGGATTGGCCGGAGATTTTAACGACGGCG